TATATCTGAGATCCTGTTGTAAATCTCCAACTCTGTTTTCTGTGACACGTGACAAAATGTGGGCATACACACAGTCCCTTGCGTTTCAATCTGAGATCCTGTTTTGAACCTCTAACCCTGTTTTCTGTGACACGTGACAAAATGGGGGCCATAATCCAAAGCATATATCGTAAAAACAGCGTTTTAATCTGAGATCCTGTTGTAAATCTCCAGCCCTGTTTTCTGTGACACGTGACAAAATGTGGGCATACACACGGTCCCTTGCGTTTCAATCTGAGATCCTGTTTTGAACCTCTAACCCTGTATTCTGTGACACGTGACAAAATGGGGGCCCTAAGCCAAGACATACACCTTGAAAAGAGGGAATCAATCCTCAACCCTGTTTTCAATCTCCAACCCTGTTTTCTGTGACACGAGACGAAATGGGGGCGCTAGGCCAAGACATACACCGTGGAAACAGGGATTCGATCCCCAACACTGTTTTGAATCTCCAACCCTGTTTTCTGTGACACGTGACAAAAAGGGGGCCCTAAGCCAAGACATACACCGTGGAAACAGAGTTTCATCTAAGATCCTGTTTCGAGTCTCCAACCCTGTTTTCTGTGACACGTGACAAAGAGGGGGCCCTAACCTTTGAATCTCCAACCCTGTTTTCTTTGACACGTGACAAAGAGGGCGCCCTAACCTTTGAATCTCCAACCCTGTTTTCTGTGACACGTGAAAAAAGGGGGGCCTAAGCCAAGACATACACCGTAAAAACAGGGATTCAATCCCCAACCCTGTTTTCAATCTCCAACCCTGTTTTCTGTGACACGTGACAAAAAGGGGGCCCTAAGTATAAAAAGTGGTTCAATCTGAGATCCTGCTTTCAATCTCCAACCCTGTTTTCTGTGGCACGTGACAAAAAGGGGGCCCTAAGCCAAGGCATACACCGTGAAAACAGTGGTTCAATCTGAGATCCTGTTTTCAATCTCCAACCCTGTTTTCTGTGGCACGTGACAAAATAGGGGCCCTAAGCCAAAACATACACCGTGAAAACAGGGATTCAATCCCCAATCCTGTTTTGAGTCTCCAACCCTGTTTGCTGTGAGACGTGACAAAAAGGGGGCCCTAAGCCAAGACATACACCGTAAAAACAGGGATTCAATCCCCAACCCTGTTTTCAATCTCCAACCCTGTTTTCTATGACACGTGACAAAAAGGGGGCCCTAACCCTAACCCTAACCCTCAATCTCTTTGAGACTGGCTCTTGCTTTTGTGTTGCGCACTTTCTCGCCCCCGTTTGTCACTTCTCGGTCGGTGGGCGAAATTTCTCGCTTCCCTTTCCCTATTTTTCAATGCGACCTAGGTTCGTCATTAGTTGCGGTGATACCCAACTTTGTGCGTCGTTTCACTCCCCCCCCTATGGTTTGCTTTGCATATTTTATGGTCCAATGTTCCGCCAGTGCTTCTATTGCATGCCACGGCCAACGTGTTCCATCTTGATACTTTATTTAGCATTTTTTTTCATGCAATTGGCCTTGACGTAGAAGTAGAATTGTTTTCCTCGCACCACCCCGATCGCAAGCACGTTGTATCGTGACATGCGCACCTTTGTTTTGGCGTTGGTTCCTGCACTTTTCTTTGGCCGTTGTTTACGTTCCCCGGAAACCCCATTTTGCCTTGCTTATCTCGATTTTGGTCGACCCCTAACGGTTTTCCATGTCGTTTGATCCTTTGCAGGCTCGGCTTTCGTTTCTTATTCTTTATGTTTGTTTACATTTCAGCACTCGATCGGATCGTAGCCCCCCTTCCCGTAAGGCTCTGGCTTACTTGATTGCGTACTCGATCGGTTCATTCGCGCGAGATAATTTGTGATTTTCTCTTTACGATTTCGTTACTTCGTGTTATGGTCTTTTCGGTTCGGATGTTTTGGTTAGGGTTAGCACCCATGTGCCTTTTCCGATTTTATCCGCCGAGTTTGCCGCCCCGGCTTCTCGGTGTTCTTATTTCTTGCTTCCGCTTCTTTGGTTTGGTTAACGGAGAGGTGCGGGTGAGGGTTTTGAGTTGTCGTATCTTCGATCCATCCCGCAATCCTCTTGATTGACAAGAGTCCCTCCGAGGTTTGCTTCTGTATCTGCATCTACGTCCACTCAGGGTGGGCTATTGTTATGGTATTTGGAGGTAGACATGTGATCGTGGTTGATCATGGTTATGTGGCGCCGTCGGATGATAAGACGTGACGTCATGCTGGATCAGGGCTTTATGCCGAGACATGTGCCCTTCTGTTCAGTGTGTGCGTACAGAGGATCTATGATCGTTTGTGCGCGGAATATTGTGAGTTGGCTTGGAAAGCGTTAATCAAGAGAAAGAGGACAACGGAAAGCAACAACAACCTGCTACTTTGGTCGGACAAGAGAATTCCACACAGCTCTATGGTGATTGATTCTGAAGGAAGGGGTCAAATACCATTACATAAGGCCCATCCCCCCCCCCGTCCACGACCAATATTGCAGCGTAGCCCAGGGGTGTTCCGACGTTTCCAGATGGAGGGCCCCTTGAGACCCCTTCAATGTGGAACGATTCCTGTCAGTGTCGATTATTTACACTGCTGTGTCCAACAGAGATGATCGGGGGTAAATAAATTCGGTGATTGTCAATTGCAATTATGGCTTTGGTTGGTTGTTCTTTTTCACTGTATGTCCACGGACGCATTCTGACGGCACTTCAGACAGTAGTTGCGCGCCTCGAACTTGTATCATGCCTACCATGGTGTTATTGTACAGGCAGCGCTCGAGACACAGCTGTACGCTGTAGTCGACAAACACTCGTTTTGTTTGGTAAAGTGTGAGACAGGGGGGATGCTGCTGCTGCTGTGGTCGAATGTAGTGTGTGGACGGGTAGTTCAGTTTTTGGGCACGCAAACGTGCTGCAGGGATGTAGGTGTACCTCTTCGGGCTTGTGTATTTTCTTGCTACTATTTTGCGTGTTCTTTAGATCTTCTGATGGCTCTAGCATTTTTGTGACCACGGACCGCGTCTTTGCTAGATTTTGGGATTATTAGCAACTGACACGAGCTTAATGTGAAGACAACAACAACAACAACAACAACATGTTCGGAAGTTACAGAGCGGGCCCGGAGATCAGAAACGTCAAAAGCGGGTCGAGCTCAACTCTCGTTTTTTTTTTCAAATGCATATGACCCAACAAATCCATCTCTATCTATCTAAGAAAATAATCCAAGATAGATCAGCAATGAATTCATTGCGTCAGAGAAAGCAACCTGTATTTCCACGGTTCCCCGAGCAGCACACAGCGAGCGATATCTCCCCTGTGGGTAACAGGCTCAACATGACAGTTTGGTGGCCGTCTTGTGCATCTATCTGTATGTTATGCTGGGAAGGTGCAGAAGGAATGTGTTGGGTATTAATGAATACAAACATACATAATAGTTGGTTCGTCGGGTGTGCTATTGATGGTGGCACCCACCCTTGGGATTAGGAAGAAACAAGCAATGTTCGGGGTATTTGTGTGTGTATCCAAGCAATGTGCAGGGATGCGGGTTACGGCGGTACCCTTAATTACCCGTAAAACCCCTTCCAGACTTATCTAGTTCCATCCCACGTAACGTTTGCGGTATAACTTGGGGGTTTGGGATTTATTTGGGGCAACGGGGCGACCCCCGCCAGATTTACACTAAAATAGTATACAGAACATCATTTATTTACCGCTGCTGCAGGTGGGAGCAGTTTGAAGTTTGAAGAACACAAGCATGTCTTCGCACGCAGTATCATGTTATATATACAAGGGCTCCGGACTTCGGGCGCAGAGGCGCCCTCGTCCTCAGTAGTAGGCTTCAAGAGAAGGTGTGAAGGCTGTGCACAGCATACCAAGGGCATGAAGCCGCAGGGTGACCGAATGAACGGTGTGAAGATGTTCGCGTTATATTCGAGAAATGTGCCGTTCCCGGTGTAACATCAAGCCAAAAGAGTCGCGTGTACGTGATTTTTTGTCTAGCTTCGCCTGGTGCGGACGAAAAGGAGATGTATGCTACGGTCGCCTCCTCCCTATTCTTGCGTCGGTAAGAACGTAGTAACACTCTCAGGCAACGTTCTCTAAGTGGCTTTGCTGTGGCCAATATCCATCCCAAAGGGGCCAAAGAAAGAATGAACACTGCAACTGTTCGACGGTATTGATTGCCGGTAGTTGACGGTACTGGTGTGTTGCCGCCTAACTCTCATATTCAAACTTCTTCAGTGTCGCGCCTTTCTCTAATATCCCCCTCTAATGTTCTGGAGCTATTATTCTTGCTTTTTCGGTGTCGTCCCGCTCGAATGGTCATATTCTAACTTCTTCAGTCTAATGTCGCGCCCTTCTCTAATGTCCCCGTCTAATGACGCCGATATGCGGTATCCCTCACAATGTGAAAGGAGCCGAACACCTACAACATTCAGACAAATTAAGAACCTACACCGCACGCAGTGGTTTGACGGCGTTGCCGCTAGTTGACGGTGAAAGAGTTGACGCCTCCCGCCTC